CAATCCATGTCATAGCGGGCCAGAGACTTCTTAGGGTATTGTCAGTGTGTTTAGTTTAAACACACTTTAAAGTTTGGGTTTTAATAATGCTGCGCTCCATTAGCCAAAATATTGTGACAGTGGCGCGGGTCGTGGTCTCAGTCTGTGCTTTCCTCCAACTGTTCAGAGATATACTCAGGGTGAAAAGTCAGCAGTAAATAAATAAATAGTTACTCTTCATTATTTAAAAAAAATGCAAGATAGCTGCCATTGGAACCAGTCGATCTGTTCTTTTAGTTATTTTCAGAAGGTGAAAAGTAGATTGGCTAACTTATGAAAGTGATATTTTGCATTTTAGATTTAGATAGACATTAGATCATTTTTATCAAATCTTGACCCAACAGTGCACACTGTAGACTATAACAGCAGCAACCCTAAATGGGCAGTTTTTGAAGGAATCGTCCACTCTCAGTGTAGTCTTTTTTAAAGTTAAACTTTGCGAACCTCAGTCAGAATCAGTATGGAGAACTGGACTGCTTGGTTCCCGGAGTGAGAAAGAAACGTGCTGGATCGATCCATGACAACTCAGACAACGTGGCTGCGTGCGTAATGAATAAAAGAACCTCCAAATATTTTAGAGGAGGGCACCCATGGATCGATGTAGACGACAAGCAGGAAAGGGTTCTTTTGTACCTCAGAAAGTCCAGCCATCCGTCTCTGATGATCGAGGGGTCCAGTTGGAGAGAGAGGAAGTTTTCGTTGAGGACTCTGATTGAACTGCGGGTGTTGACATCCAGGAGAACCAGCGTCCTCTCCAAGAAGCCTTGGCGCTTCCCAGCGACAGCAGGTCTCTGATACGTAGAGGTGGACGATAGCACCGACTGCACCATCAAAATAAGCAACGATGCCAGCCACAGGGAGGGCCATGGGAATACGCGCGGAGAGGATTTGGGCATCTTCTTGGTTTGGAGAGCAGGGGGATCAGCGTGCGCAAAGAAGCTTAAAGGTGGGAAGAAATCAAGCACTAAACAAACTGTGCTTCCGAGGAGTTCGATGGCGGTTCTATACCTCGGTCTCATCGATCTGGATCTGTCTTCCTGTCTAGC